CCCCCCCCCCCCCCAACGTGCAGGTACTACCGAGCACCAGAGCTTATCTTTGGGTCGACGGACTACACGTGCGCCATCGACACCTGGAGCCTCGGCTGCGTGGCGGCGGAGCTGCTGCTGGGAGAGCCCCTCTTCCCCGGAGATAGCGGGGTAGATCAGCTCGTGGAGATCATCAAGGCAAGCAACCAGGCCTCCTGCCTGGGGCCGGACCTTGGTGCCAAGTGTTTGGTATGGTTGATCTTGTGTTGGGCCGGACCTCAGCAGGAGTACAAGTAGTTGGTGCTGTGTTGTAGGTGGTGGCTGTTGCTGGAGGTGATGGAAAAGTAGTATCAAAGGCGGGGGAGAGAGGCGAAAGAAGATCCAACTTCCGATGACGGAAGGGGGGAGGGGGCCACTCAATTGTCGTGCATGCCGTAGTCGTTAGACCAGTGACCTCGCAGCCCTACAAAGTCGGGACGGAGCACGCCGGGCTTTCACTGGACCAGGCTGTAGCACACCACCAAGCGGGGGCGGGGGAAGGTATATTTCTTGGTGATGTGGCGTTAATTGGGCAGCACGACGGTCGATGCCTTCAGATGACGAAGAAAACGAAGAGGCAACAGCGTCATCAAACAAAACGTGTAATGAAATCCTGCCTTCTGGTACGGCGTCGGGCAAGCATGGTTGAGTGGAACGCGTGCACGCGTGAAGGCCTCTCGGAAGCCAAACCGTCGTGTCTACCAAGGGTCTGTGCTAAAAAACATTCGACACATAAGCCTACTAATCGAAAATCGGGGTCATTTGGGGGGGGGGCGGGGGCGGGGACATGTACCCATGTATCCACGGGTTTTTCCCCTGAGGCGTCGGCGCTTTGGCGTTAGGTTCGGGTTGGATTGATCAAGTCAAACTTAACCCTACAAGACCAAGGCTAAGAGTAGATTTGCGAGACTATGTTCCCTGTTACGCAGAGCTAGAAGCGGCGAAGGTTTGCAAGGCAGGTGGTTGTGTTGGATGTCTAGAGTAGCTGCTTAGCTCATTTCGAGCTTTGGCCGGATGTACTGTGCTTTTGTAAGAATGGGGCGCTACCGTACGTGTGTTCCTATAGCACGGCTGAGCGTGGGCCGGCTTCTGACGAGCAGATGCGGAAGGAGTAACGAGAGCGAGGCATGTTTGTAATCCATCTAAACCTCATGGTAACTTTTCGACGAATTTTTCCGGGGAGGGGGCGGGCGGGGCGGGGCGGGGGGGGAAGGCATATGTGTCCGGAATTTTTTTCGCACAGACCCCTGTATCTACTGTAGCTGGATTCGCAACGGCGACGCATAGAGTCGTACGGCGTTTAATGTCGCGTGGGGGTCGACGCTTGCGTCAATCCTTCCGGTTACGCTTGTTTAAACGCATCAACAAATAACCCTGGGGTCGTGTGTGGCGTGACTATATTCTCTATATAACGTCCTCAGGTGCTGGGGACACCGACGCGAGAAGAGATCCGGGCGATGAACTACAACTACTCGGAGTTCAAGTTCCCCCAGATCAAGGCGCATCCGTGGAAGGGCGTGTTTAGGTCCAGGACCCCTCCCGAGGTGAGCGGTGACAAGAAAAGAACGCGTTTATTTTTGAAATTTTCTTTTCGTGGTTGTTTGGTGTGAACAGTTTTCAGCGTGAAGGTACCGTTGTTGGAGGTTTTAGCCATGTTTCGGTGTTCCTGTCGAATGTTGGTGTTGCCTATGAGTCACCCAGAGCACAAGCAAAGTGTGGATCAATTGGAAGCACGACTGCGGATCTCTCACCGGTTGTTCGCACTCTCATTTTCGATCGTCACGAATCGGAAAGTACACCGCCCAACGTATGCATGGCTACAATAGTAGCTCTTAGACCTGCCGCCTCCAGTGCGGTGTTTGCCTCAGGTGTTTTTGTACAAGCGTGCACGATGAACCAACGTATTTGCTCGTATTGTGGCTGCGTAGAGTAGACAAAAGTGGTGTGCGGTTACAGCAGGCCAGGAACGGTATCGCTACACCTTTAAACAACAACAACAACAACCTTTAACATGTGAGCCTCTGGATACATGAGTTGAATACATGCAGATGGGCGTTCTTGCGTCCGCTCATCGTTTTTGTTTGTGTTTTTGCGCATCGATGCCCCCTCCGCCCTATCTGCCGGATGGGTGTCCTTTCTTCCCTGTGCCTTTGTGCCGCCGCGCCTTCGTGTTTCTGAAAGGCGCTGGATGTCGTAAGCAAGATGCTGGCGTACGATCCGTTGAAGCGGGTTAAGCCGCTGGAGGTCTGCAGCCACGAGTTCGTCGACGAGGTATTTTTTTTTTTTTTGTTTCCCATCATTGGACTCTGTCGTCTGCCCCTCTGGCCCCAATCCTCCACTTCTACCAGCTAGACGACCCAACCGGGGTCACATAGGAGTGGGGGGGTTGGACCCCCTCCTGCGGTTCCTGCCTGAGATATTTGTACAGCAGTGAAAACGTGATAATCCTTCGCCAAGTGTTGCACAGCAGCGGTGCCCGACCAGAGTCTTATTGTTGTGTCGACTTATGTAGACTTGCTTCCTGGTCGTTGCGGCTTCAGCAAGGCAAGGTACGGAATCGTCCCGCGTCATGACAACGACACCGCCTCACAAACAAAGCGAAATTGGCGTGTTTGATGAGGATGGGCATGTTTGGTTGGAGACAAGCTGGGTTGCCAATCTCAGCCAGGCGTTGTCGGTGTGTTGACACCTTCTTCACGTTCTTGTTGTTGAGCTCTTGAACGCAATTTTATCGCATCAGGTTAGTTTGTGCTTCGACATCATTCGTGACTTCAGAGGTAAAGGCCTCGCAGTGCATCTAATCGCCGTTTTTTCCGGCTTGACGTGTTCCTTTTGCCGATTGTTGTTGTTGGTTCTCGTTTCCCTTTTTTTTCGAATCACATCGCGTTCTGTAAGCCCGTTACTGCCGGCAGATTAGCTGTTGTTGACATGTTGTAAAGCATCGTTACTTTTGTCGCGATATTTCGTTTGACGGTTTGTTGAACAATCCTGTGCGCTGCTGTGACAATTCTCTTGTCACGTAAAAACACCAAACGTGGGTCGTTTGAGTTCCTTTCTCCCCTTCGTCCACCTCCGCTTGTCCCATTGTTGCGCGCAACGAAAACAGCTGCGCCAAGAGGGAGTCAAGCTGCCGAACGGGAAGCCATTGCCGACGCTCTTCGAGTTCACAGAGCTGGAGCTCTCCGCCAACCCGCGGCTGCTGTCGTACCTCATGCCCTCTGGCGGCGGGGGGGTCGCAGGGTCGCAGGCTGGTACCGACGAGGCAGCGGGGGCCAGTTCTGCCGCTGCTACTGCAGCGGCGACGCCGGCGGGGGGAGGAGACGGGAGTGAGTCGGGGCAGGGGGAAGGGCAAGCGTGAGAAAAATCCCGCTTTGCCTCAGCTAAAAAAGGAAGGAGAAATGATTTGTTATCGAGAGACGCTCACGTAGGTATGAGCCGGGGGGAGTGGGGGGCTGTCGTGCGGGTTGGTGGGCGATGGGGAAGGCTTCGTCGAGCGTGCAAAACAGCAGTAACATGACCGAGCGAGGAGGTTGGTCGGGTGCTCTGGGCGGCTGGCGTGAAGAGGTGTCGCTGGGGGTTGGTGTGACCACGGCTCTCCTTAGTATGTAACTGCCTTTCGACGAAAAGAGTCCGCTGTCGTCGAGGTGCGGTTGGAGCTGTTCCTGGGAACGGTCAGTGGTTGTGGCCTCTTCTGAGCGGAATAAGCCGAGTCGAGTGGACTGGAGAGGAAGGGAAGGGAAGGGCAAAGGAACTGGGTAGACGGGGTTGGCATACCTTGAAACGCGGAGCATCAGGCGACTACTACTACTACTACTACCACAGCTGTCATTTCTCATTTGCTGTATCATGTTTTTTTTTTTCCTCTTTCTTGTCTTCTTGGGTAGAACATGTGCTGGGTTCTGTGAGAAGAGTAGGAAAGAGCGGGGTTGATTTGCCCGCGTTTGTCCCCCGACGTTACTGAAGAAGGAGGGAGAGGGAGCACTGGTGAAAATTCAGTGAAATGTGATCGAGTACCGCACTCAAGGACAATATTTGGCAAGTGCTGGGTAATTCCAAGCGAACAAGGCGCCATTGAAAGAACCCTTGTCTTGGTGGTGGCGTGTGTCGCCTCGCGACGCTCCCCAAGTTTACAAGTCGGGGGTGAGGGTATAGCGCTTCCCTCTTTGGGCCGTTTACACGCCCGGCAGGAGAAGCAGAGGGGGTTGACTGGAAGGGAGGGCGGAGGGGAAAGAGGCGAAAGATGGGGGAAGGAATTTCACGCACGCAATGCGATTACTATTATTATAGTAGCTGGTCTGTTGTTGTCTCTGTTGCAACAGTTGTTGTTCCAGGTCATGTCAGGTAAAATGTGTGTAATGGTTGTTTATCGTAGTAGATCTAGGGCGTGAAGGTTGGTTCCATCTTCTGGAGGTCGTGTACGGAAGAGCGGGGGGGGTTGTTTTTTTTCGACCCCGGCGGCGGATGTTGGTGCGTTTTTGGGCCACCGTGTGATATGCGCTCGTCACGATGGGCGAGTGTGTCACGAACAAGCGGTGGGCACACATCGTACAACAAACGCTGTGGGAGGCTTTCCCCCCGTACCCCGCCTGTGCCCGGTTGTGTACGTAGTCACAGATCAGAGAGATGGTACCACTGGAGACAGGCTGCTGCTGTCGGTCCGCACGCATGGCATTATTATTAAAAAGGGCGTGCGTGGTTCGCACAGATGCCGTGCAATGCTGTTGGGTATGCTGTGGTGGAGGTCTCAAGCTATACCGTAATGACAATCGCTTACTATTCCTGTTGGAGAAGGTTGGAGGCGAGGGGCCCACGAACTACGATAGTGTCCAGCACTCGTTGTTTGTGCGCAGTTCACGTTCATGCATTTAGCCCGCTGCCGCTGGGTGCTTGCGCACGAGGTTGTCAAGGCCTCGCCGTGTCGCGGCTTGTTGTGTGCTTCGACATCGCGGCAACAAGAAAAGCGGTTACGGCACAGACAGCCCGGCATTCCCTCGACTACTTGTAGGCATGTGAGATTCTCCTGGAAGGGGGCCTGAAATGCGTTCAGGTTGAAGAAGCGTTGACAAAACGAGTCCACCACGTCCGTCCCTGTTACACACTGCGGCTGTGATGTGGCGACGGACGGACTGATCGTCGTTCTCTCTTTTTCTCGGATGTCTTACTGTGGGAGGGGTGGCTCTCCTTTTGGGATAATACGCGTTCACAAACCTTTCGGCTTCCGTCAGGCTGTTTTTGTGGCAGATAACATACCTACGCCTGCTGTCTACCTTTCGCGTTGCCTATTATTGTCAGAAACGCACCCAACTCCCCGGCTCTCGCTTCTTTGAAGAAACTCAGACGCATCACACGTGCACCGGGTTTCTTTCTCTGCAAGCAGTGTACCTAAAGAATTTTGATGATTTTCTTCGCAGTCCCGCTTCGCCATATCTTCAGGCGCACTCCGCTCCACCGTGCCTGCTCGCAATAGTACACTTATGGAGAGCCCCCATTCGGCACCGTGTGAGTGCGTGACGTTTAGTCGTTTCGTGGGCTAGATGATACAGATTGGTAATCGCCCCTTCCGGAACTCCACCAACCCAGCGGCCTGGGCGCGGCCTCGAGGTCTTGCGCGGGGCAGTGGTGGACTAGAAGACCGAGAATGGATGGAGGCGTTTTCATGCCCTTCGTCGGTTTGTGTGTACAGACCCGCGTGCCCGGCGACCGAACTCACCAGACTAGCAGTTTTTAGCCTGCGTACAGCTCATTAACTGCGAACGTTACGTCTCAAGCAGCACACGGGACTGTACACAGAGCAGCTACCTAGACCACCAGCCAGACAGACAGAACCGCTCCACTCGGAGCTCCCAAGAGGAAAGACTGCTGTACATGCCGTAGGAATTGCGGAAAAACTTTCTAAATAAACTTCAGTAACTACTACTGCTCTATCTACTACTGCTGTTGTAATCTAGTCTACATTAGTAGCATGCGAGGAGCGGAACGTGGTTCGGGGGTGACAGGTGATACACTTACACCTGTGGCCAAATGGCTCACCCTGTGCGGACCTTGCAGCCAAATAGACCCTGTA